AATCAATCAATCAAATCAATTAAATCAATCAAATTAATCAAATTAATCAAATTAATTAATTAATTAATTAATCAATCAATCAATCAATCAATCAATCAGTCAGTCAGTCAGTCAGTCAGTCAGTCAGTCAATCAATCAATCAATCAAATCAATCAATCAATCAATCAATCAACCAAACAATCAACCAACCAACCAATCAATCGATCGATCAATCAACAATCAAACAATCAATCGATCGATCAATCAACAATCAAACAATCAATCAATCAATCTCTCACTCAATCAATCAATCCCTCACTCACCCAATCAATCTCTCACTCACTCACTCACTCAATCAATCAATCTCTCTTTCTCCCTGCCTGTATCACTCTCACTCTCTCTCTCTCTTTCTGTCTGTCTCTGTGTGTGTGTGTCTCTCTCTCTCCCTCCCTCCCTCCCTCACTCAAACCCTCTCTCTTTCATTCTCTCTCCTTCCCTTTCTCTCTCTCCTGTTTATTTTAAATTTTGTTCAACAAACGAAATTATCCTTTCAATACCATTAGTTTTAGAAAATAAGCAATAAACATTCGACCAAGTGGTTTGTTATCTTACTCTTCCTTCTAAGTTAAAAAGTATTCTACCTCAAATCAAATTTTTTAAAAGTACAGAATTAGCACTGCTTTATCAATATCTACAATCATAGAATAAGTATAAAATTATCTAATTACTTAGAATATCTTTATTTTTATAATGTACCTACGAATTTGTAAATTTACTGGTCGTAGAACTCCGTTTTGATTACGTTTCTGAGGAAATTTGCATTTTATTAGCAAACCTGTGTATTACGTGCTTAAACTACACAAAGTTCTAGGTATGTAAATAAAAATGGAAACAACGTGTAATTAGCCCTGATTGATTAAAAAGGCTTTGATGAATACAATAATAATTTGTACCTTCTTCAGTGTTTTTTTTCTAGTTTTGAAACAACTGCCGACACCCACGACTGCCCACCGTGCAGGTGAGAGACCACTTAACATTTCAATTTCGAGGCACGAACTTGTAATTGAAACGGCGTGGGATGATGATATATCGGTAATTTGTCAACGAAAGACAATGCCAGCAAAGAGAAAAGCCTATTTTCAAGCAGAAACCCGGTGGGACTGTTTGATTTGTGCTTTCTGTACACTCCGCTGGAAAGAAATGGCAAAATTATTTTAATATTAGACCGTAACGGAAATATTTTTAATCAATGTAAATAGACCTTTGAATACAAAATGCGGCAAATAAAAGTTTTAAATTTAATTTATTACTCCTTGTTTATACTATTGTATTGGGCACATTTGACATTTCTCGTTTGTGATTTGTCGAATAGAGATTAAACCCAATGAAATGCCAACGGTTTGTCCGATTTGGAAAGACCATCAATCTTGTCATCGGCTATTGTTATGCTTTATAATTTCATTGTAAATGTCTATTATAATGGAATCGAAAATTACAATGATCTGGGTGTTTAGCATAGTCAATGAAAGAAATGTTTTATTACTATTAGATTTTTGACAGATGGAAAATAAACAAACTTTAGAATAAATAGCGAGTATAGGTGGACCTTGCCAATGACCCAAATTTTTTACGATAGAAAAAAAGGCGAAAAATGATTTTTTTATTTTTGACTCTTTATTATTGCATATTTAGTTTGGTCGTTTCCGATCATTTTGTAGTGTATGTACACTGACAGGCAAAAAATTCCGCCCAGTTGTAATATAAGTTGATTTGTATAGATTTTTATATATTAATCAAAGTTTAACGTTTTTTAACGTTTAATAATTGAGTGTTTGTCTAAAAAAGTAAAAAAAATTGCTAAGGAAACTTTTAAAAAATAAAAATAAAAAACTTTAAAAAAAGACGGACAGATAAAAATTTGTTTTAGATTTTTAATTTATATTTCAATATCGCGTATCATCCTCCTTTTACCTTAATTACATTTCGAAGACGCCTTGGCGTACTTTTTACCAGTCTGGAAATGTCTCTTTGCTGGAGGTTAGCCCATTCGTCGTGAAGAATACTTTCAAGATCGTGGAGTGTATCAGGAAGTACTGGACGTGTTATTATTTGCCTTTTGAGGTTATCCCATAAATGTTCTATGGGTACTAGTCTGGAGAACGGGCTAGGCAAGCTAAGACCTTCATGTTACGCTGTTGAAGGTACAAACGTACTATGCGAGTGACATGTGGACGGGCATTATCGTGCATTAGAATAGGATCATCGCTGATTTCATCGATAGGCAACGCATGATGTTTCAAAATTCCATTTAAATAGCGTACCTTTCATCTTCGTCTTCACCACACTCTTTCACGCCTATGTGGGGATCGTAGAGCAAATCTACACTCATCTGTGAAAAGTACAGCAGACCAATCGTCCAAAGATTATAATATGCATGGAACTACAGATATGAATTAATTAATGAGTTTAATTTTTGATTTCTTTTGTATAACATGTTTTTTTTGTTCTCTTTCGCATTTTGGCAGTTGTTGTTTCTCCTTTTTTTCTTTTTATTGCGTAGGCTATAACTTTTATTTTATTTTATTGTGTATTTTTTCGTTTTTGACTGTTTAATCAACGACCTCTGGCAGACGGATCCAAGATCCATGGCCTTAAATGCTTTAAAATCTAAATTGTCTTTTTTCCTTTTTTTATGTTTAATAAAGCATTATTATTATGATTATTATCAATCGTCCAAATACCAATGGCTGTTTTCTCGAGCAAATGCCAGCCGTGAAACTCTGTGTATTCTGGTCATTTCTGGTCCTCTTACTGGGCGAAAAGTTATCAGTCCATACTGATTTCATCTTCTTCGAGCAGTGCGTTCAGAAATTTGGACACCTCGAACTTGCTGGAGCTGATGAATCGCTTGAACAATAGTAAGGTGCCGGTCGCAAAATTCTCAAAGTCAAAAAACGGTCATCTTGTGGTTCTGTTACCCTAAGGCGTCCATAACCGGGCCATCTATGATAGGACCAAGTTTCTCGAAAACATCCAACGGCGTCTTGCAGTGTTTCGTAGGGAACTCCGACGGCAATAACCGCATACCCGATGGAACGTCCATCATCAATTAGAGTCAGTCACCCCACGCCCAACATCCTCAGCTAAGTGACCTTTTTAACTTAAAAATTGAAAATGAGACTAAATAAACATTAAATTCCGTAAAAATTAAACTTTGAAAAATCCTTTGTCCTTTTTTTGGATTAAGGAATAAGTTTAATTGTTATTCCCAATTTAAAACATAGCTTAAACAAATATTTATTGATAAAACAATGAGAAAAATTAAGAGCAAAATTTTCTTTTATCGAGGAATGAAATATAATTCAATTGGGTGGAATTTTTTGCCTGAGTGTGTGTGTGTGTGTATATATATATATACCAAAAATTTAACTGTTTAATAAACTTAATATATTATACGTTATTTCTATTCCTGAAACAGCATTGAAGACGGCGAGAAACCAAGAGAAGACAGATCGGAAATATCCAAACAAATGGTTCACTACGCCACAATCTCAAGAGAAAATTTCACTACTTCTTACACCTTGGTACGTTTTACTATAAAAATGATAATTTGCAAAACATTACTAGAGACAAAAACAGCGAGGCTAGAAAGGCCAAAATGACCGGAAACGATCAAACAAATGGTTCACCACTCCTCAATTTCAAGAGAAAATTTCACTACTTCTTATACCTTACTTATTGCTCCTTGCTACTTTTTCTAGGCGAAAAATGGTAAGTTTCAAAACGGTATTTATCTTCCAGACGCTCTACTGAAGGCAACGAGAAGAGAAGAAAAAACAGCGAAAAAACCAAAATGATCGTAAACAACTAAATTAACGGATAATCACCGTTCTACCTCAAGAAAAATTCACTTTATTGCATCTTGTGGATTTTTACTGTTGGGAAAATGGTAAGTTTTAAAACGGTACTGATCTTCCCGCAGCAGTGAGGACGGCGAGAAAGCAAACCGCGCCTAAGAGACAAAAACATTGAAGATAAACCAAAATTATCGGAAACGACCAAAAAATGCGATCACCCAACAGTCCTTAAAAAAATTCACTATTTATTGCATTTTGCTACTCTTTTCTATGTGGAAAACGGTAAGTAAAACGTTATCTTCCAGTGGCAGCATTGAAGACTACAGCCTGCATAATATATCGGGAAAAATCTATATCAAAATAATTACAAACAATTACTTAAGGTTTTTAGTTGAGATCAAAAAGTCAATGGCACGAGCGGGATTCGAACCCACGATCTTCGGCTAGATACGCCGCTGCTCTACCACTTGAGCTATCGTGACCTCGATCCTCTCGGACACTAACTTCCCATCTCAACCCCACCTTTTGAATTTTCCCTCCTTTTTGCCATTTTTCAAATGTCGTGTAATCGGATTGGATTCTCGACGACAAATGAAATGGCCACGGAGAGCTTTAGTGAAGTATACTTCATTTTCAATCATTAAATTCACTAATTTCGTGGTCCGCGTGGCCAATTAATATATTACAATTAATTAAGGTTTTTAGTTGAGATAAAAAAGTCAATGGCACGAGCGGGATGGAATTGAATTGAATTGAATGCCAATTGAAAAATGGCAAAAAGGAGGGAAAATTCAAAAGGCAGTTGATTTCTCAACTAAAAACCTTAATTAATCGTAATATATTAATTGGTCAAGCGGACCACGAAATTAGTGAAAATAATTACAAACCGTATCCTTGAATAAAAAGTAGAATTAAAAATGACCAATTCTTCACACTTTAGAATGAAAATTATTATAATAATTATACGAATTCATATGGCACGTATGTAGGTGAACCTGTGGTTTTAAACGGAAGGAATTATCTACAACCAATTTTATCTTTTTTACACCGTGCCCTGATATCCAAATCTAACCGGAAATAATGTCCCTAATCAAAACCCTGAGGTTTTACTATATCCTTTGAAAAAAGTATAAAACAAGAATATTATAATAACTTTTATCATAGCGCTCATAGTTGACTAACGCAATAAGTGTGTGTTCGTTTTAACGACTGAAATTATACCATAATATTTAATTAAATTTGTTTGTGTTCTAGGGTTCAAAAAATGTCGAACGTTAGAGATATTCTGCATTTGTTCGAAAGACCTACAGAACCTATTTTTATGCTCAAAGGAAACAACGATATCTTTTTCAATGTCCCAAGCAACTATGTTGTATGTTTCACTTTTTTTAAAAACATATTTCTGATCCGTTATTATGCTAATGTAGAAGGCTGTTACAGTTGGAACCTTACAGGCAAAACATCCAGGCGTTGACGAATCGGTTCGGCTCAAAGAATGCCAGAACGGTTCGAATAAAAGAAATTTCGATCCCGGACATCAGCCTTCCTATGCGTTTGGGGAGACGAGAATTGTTCTCACTCTTCGTCCCCAGTCACAGAGAAATGGCATCCCGCCTCATCGAAGTTTTCATGGGTAAGATGATAAGGTCAATCATAGCCATTGTATATTTCAAATATATGATTTCAGGAATGGTATCGTTCGACGATTTTATGTCCGTGAGCGCTTACTGCAGGGACAGAATAAATCCGTACTTGTTTGTTTACTGTCTGTCGGTAGCTATGATCCATAGGCCCGAGACCAAAAACCTCCCCTTGCCGTCGCCCTGTGATTGTTTTCCAGAAAGGTACATCGACGGCAGGGTTTTCGCCAGGGCAAAGGAAGAAGCGTCGATTGTCTGCGAAGGAAGCAGGGTTCGTATATTCACAGTTCTCTGTACTATGACAACTTTTAAGTTGAAAATTTGTGATTTAGACATCGATAGAAATACCGGTAAACTACACGGCTACGGATTTGGACATCGAACACAGACTTGCTTACTGGAGGGAAGATTTGGGCCTTAATAATCACCACTGGCACTGGCATTTGGTATACCCTTTCGAAGGTCCTAGAAATATTGTGGACAAAGACAGAAGGGGTGAACTTTTCTTCTACCATCACCAACAGATAATGGCCAGGTAGTTTTTCAAAAATATTATTTTTTCTAAAATTTGAACATTTAATAGCTTTATAAGTTGGTTAATTAAATCATAGCACGTTCATTTTTAATATTATGTTTTAATAAGCAGAATAAAAGTCAAAATAAATCTTTTCAGAGTGGTTCATAGATTTGTACTTTACCAAATTAAATTTTTTTAGGTATAACATGGAGAGATTTTCCAACAATTTGGCCCGAACTGAGAGGTTCAACGATTTTAGACAGCCCATGAGTGAAGGCTATTTTCCCAAACTTGAAACCTTGGTCGCCTCTAGGGTTTGGGCGCCAAGATTTGCCAACACTACTATGAAGGTTGTTAAAATCAAAATCCGACAAAAGCAAATTTCAACCACTCGTTTGTTACAGGACGTCAACAGGGAGCTTAAGATTTCTATTAGCGACATGGAACGCTGGAGGGAAAACATTTTGGACGCTATCCACAGTGGGCAAATCGTCACGGTAATTAATTGCTTTCCTTTAGTAATTTCTTAGGATCGAATTAATTTTCGGTTTGTTATACAGGATGACGGACGTACAGTTGTGCTGAGTGAAGACGTCGGTATAGACATCCTGGGTAACATCGTGGAAGCTAGTATTTTAACACCGAACCGACGTCTCTACGGAGATCTGCACAACGCAGGCCATCTGGCTATCGGAGTCTGCCACGATCCAGATTTTAGACATCTTGTACGTTCGATAATCTTGAAGTCCAAAAAATACTAATATCTAGGATCAGAAAGATAAGGTTTCAATCAATGGTTTAAAAAAATTGAAGCAGTTCTGGCTCTATTTTATGTTTTTATATTACTAGATCATACATGATGAGACCAGAAGGAACTCATAGTTTTTTCGTCAATATTTAGGGGAATAATATATCCTCTTCATGAAAGCTACGAGAAGTTCTATTTTTGTAAATAAATGTACTGGTCATGTTTAATATGGCTCTACATAGCTTCAATTTTCGATTGCATTGAACTAAAAACAATACGTGCCAAATTTGACTCATATTCATGTATGTTCATGCTAGTAATTATAGCTTTCCAGTTGACAAAGTTATTTTTTTCGACAGTTTGACGAAAGAATTGATAACTTGTTTTCACTCTATATATCCATAAACGTCTTATGCCATAAGATTATTGTTTTTCCTAGAAATTTTAAAACTTTTTGTTTATTTTAAAAGGAACCATTTGGGACTATTGGCGATCCTTCAACTTCTATGAGAGATCCGATGTTTTACAAATGGCACGCGATGATCGACTATATTTTCCAAGAGTACAAAGATACTTTACCCAGCTACACCGTCAATCAAGTAAAGCATCTACGATTCTCATTAAAAATTTATAAAAAATAATTCGTATAATTTTTTTAGCTGGATTATCCCGGAATCAGAGCGCTGAGCGTTGAAGTGAATACGTTGAAAAGCGGCGTTAAAAACCAAATATCCACATTTTGGCAGCAAAGCGATGTCGACATGTCCCAGGGGCTTGACTTCCAACCGCAAGGTTCAGTCCGCGCCAGGTTCACACACCTCCAGCACGGCCCGTTCCAGTACAAGTTTACCGTACGTTGAAGGGCGTCTTCCGATCGTTGCAAAATGCATCCATAATTTCGTGTTGTCTTTCAGTTGGAAAATACCGGACGTCACCGTACAGGGACCGTCAGGATATTTTACGCTCCAAAATTAGACGAAAGAGGTCGTACTATGTTTTTCAGAGACCAGAAAATCTTGTTTGTAGAACTTGACAAGTTTGAATTAGACTGTAAGATCAACAATAACATTAGACAATTTGTGTAGGTAGCCAAAATTTGTTATTGTTACAGTGAAGCCGGGGACGGAAACGTATTATAGAGATTCGACCCAGTCATCGGTGACAATTCCTTTTGATAGGACGTTCAGAGATATCGATGCTAAAGGACAGGCGCCAGGGCGAGGCCAATCCGAGGAGTTCAATTTCTGCGGATGCGGCTGGCCACAGCATTTACTGATAGCCAAGGGACAACCTCAAGGATTTCCGTGCGAACTGTTCCTCATGGTGTCCGATCCAAAGCAAGACAGGGTAAGTCACACCTTCGGTCAATAAATCAATAAAATAACGGTCCTTTCGTCCAGGTCGCGGGTGCGGTGGAGAAACGGGCTTGTTCCGAGGCGGCCAGCTATTGCGGAGTGCGGGACAGTAAATATCCCGACAAACGTTCGATGGGTTTCCCGTTCGATCGTCAGCCGCGGCAGGGCGTTACGTCACTTTCTGAGTTCATGACGCCAAACATGACCGCTGCTGACGTCACGATTAAATTTTCAAACAGGGTTGTCCTTCGAAATGGCCTGAAACCGTTAACGAAGGCCAACTGAAGTGTCGTTTTTCTCAAAACCTTAAACAATCAATAAATTTGACTATGGATTTTGGATAAACATTGAGAAATGACTGTTAAAATATTTATCGGTATTATATACGCAATTATATTTTTGAAAATGAAATAATAAATATATGTCTATTCCAAATGGATATTGTCTCTCTCTTAATTCCTAATAGTGAAAATGTCAAAAACTAATTTACAATTGAAAATATTTACTGCGACGAATATCTTGGTATCAACTTCACTACAACCTTAAAGATGAACCATCTCAGCAAAAAAATTATGATATTCATTTGCACATTATTGATATCTTCAGTTCTACGGTTATTTAAACATGAGGAAATAGAGAAGGTGAAATAGTTCATTAGAAACTCTTCTACCTGCCAAATAATACCCCCGACTAAATTTTATATATTGACAGTTCAGCCTCACCGCTCTGCAGCTACACTCTGAGCCTGCATTTCAAATATATCAGAAAAATACTGAACTATGCATGGCAAAATGATGTAGTAGTAGTTGTTAATGTTTTTAGTCATTTTTGCATATTTATAGGGGTTTATGTTTCGAATTTAACATAATTATGTATATAAGGATTAAAAACTTATTTTTTATTTATTTTTTCATTACTGTTTCCTGTTAAAAAATGTATACATTTAACAATTCGTCGGTAGTGATAAATAATAGATCTGGCAGGAACCTGTCAGACCGGGTGGATAGGGAAGAACAGCCGGCCATTGCTGGAACTTTCAGGATTTAGGATTGTTGGTTGAAGTTTAGAGTTGTTCCAATTAATTAAGGTTTTTAGTTGAGATAAAAAAAGTCAGTATCACGAGCGGGATTCGAACCCACGACCTTCGGCTAGATCCGCCGCTACTCTACCACTTGAGCTAACCTGACCTCGATCCACTCAGACACTAACTTCCCATTTCAACCCCACCTTTTTCGAATTTTTCCTTTATTGTTGCCATTTTTCAAAAGGTGGGGTTGAGATGGGAAGTTAGTGCCTGTTTGGATCGTGATCACGGTAACTCAAGTGGTAGAGTAGCGGCGTATTTAGCCGAAGGTCGTGGGTTCGAATCCTGCTCGTGCCATTGACTTGTTTATCTCAACTAAAAACGTTAATTAATTGAAAGATATTACGAAAATTAGTGAGTTTAGAGTTGTGTTAGGAGGTCACAAGGCCACTGTCTTATTATGAGGCGTGGAGGATTGTTAGGATGGAACGTTGAAGAGCAGGCATTGTAGATGGTTTGGTCAAAGACATAGAAGAACGTGTTGAGTTTTGACTGAAAGAATTGGATTCTTTGGATGTAGGATGGCTTAGCTGAACAGGTTGCCTCTCTAACTTCAAATAGGTCTAATTAATGTCTTGTATATTTTCAGGTTGTAGTTTGTAATCATTGTGGATTTGGGGTTGGGAGGTGATCTTCGGTTTAGTTCTTGTATTTTTTGTTTTATGAGTGTGTTCCATGTAATCTACTGGCAAAGTGATCAAGGTGGAGGATTTGGTCGAATGGAAGGATATGTACTGTACATTTGCACTGGTGGGTAGCTACTTCTTTTAAATGAGAAAATCACGTGCCGACGTTTATTTAGCTTGATGTGCCATCGAGTGAACCAGTCGGTCATGATGTCTAGGTGGTCTTGAGATGCTTTTGCTGCAAAGATAAGGTCAGAATGTGATGAGAGGGGGGGCGGTGTCGTTCGCGAAGTTCCTTGAGGATGGATGTCATGATGGGCTTGATGTCTGAAAATTAAGGGCCGATTCTCACCTTGAAGCGATCCGATGAAAGACTTCAGGATAAAATAGTAAGTGCGAGGAAGAAATTTTTTAATTTGAAATTAGACTGTGGTGCCACCCTCTGTCTAACTAAAACTAAAACTAAGACTGAGAGGCAGGCATCTCCACAGAAAAATGAGATAAATAGAATTTTTTTGTGGTGGATACCAGTAACTGGGCGAATACCCCCTGAGCTCTGCAGCTCTATCCTTACTGGCTTCGTTCGGGACGCTTGCAACACAATTGCGAATTGAGCCCCGATGTGACGGTTTTCTTACATCGCAGAAACTCATTTTCGAAGGGAGATCAGAACCAAATTCAGGTTCGTTGAGATCCCATCCCTCCCTAGACTTTTCACTGATGAGAGCAGTGTCAATTTTCATTGCGGCCACCGGTCCTCTTAGGCGACATTGGGAATCGAACCTACGACCGCGGGATCTACTAGCCTTCTTATTTAACAAGTTTAAAACAATTTAACTAAGTTCTATCTAATTTCTAACCATCGACTAACGGTCACTAATCACCACACATTATAATTGTTTTTTGTTTTTTTCTTGTAGACGTTAATTGTTATATGCATTTTAGTAATATTTATTTATTATTTGTTCTTCGGTACATCTCACGATTTTCGAATAATCATCGACTAACGGTCACTAATCACCACACATTATAATTGCTTTTTAGCTTGTCGACATTAATTGTTATATGCATTTTTAGTAATATTTATTATTTGTTATTCGGTACATATGCCCATTTGGTATGTTTATAGTATTTATTTATTACCTATAATAAAAATATACGTGAATGAATATAGTAAGTAATAAGTATATCCAACAAAAATCTCACCATTCCTGTGGACATGGACATTCATTTAAGATCACCCACGAAAACGAATAATAGGTCGATAGGTTTATTTTCATTTATTAGTGTAACAAATTCTTCATATTGTAATTCTTTACAAGTGTTTAAATTAGAACGGCGTCTTTATAAATAGGCTTCCCTTGAAGAATCATACCACCTGCAAGTATATCGTGTATTTTGTAGGAATGGGCATCTATTAAAATTTTTATTTCCGTATATTTGAATGGTCTAAGTTGGGCAAGCGACCTGTTTTTCTTGATAGACATGCCAAAATCGAAAACTCTCCGCAAAATTCCAAAATCGCTATATTTTTCTATATCTTGAAAGTAGATATGATTTTTCCATATTTCGAGAATACCCTCCCTATAATTCAAAAGATTTTCAGGATTGCCAAAATATGAAGTCGGTTTTCAACTCAATTGGGTCAAAATATTTTGTAATTTTCAATCAGACAACCAGTCTTGATAGATCGAAATTAAATTCACGCTTGACCAACGTGAAATTAATCATTTTCAGTACACCCGCCAAGAATTCTGCTCATTAGTGAACATATTTATTTAGAAATCGTGAGATGGGGTCTGGTGTGATGTAGGTTTCAGAAGGCACTCTCGACACGACACGCAAGAATGGCACAATTACACAGAAGACAAACACTTTGAGCCCTGAAGATGATCTCAATAAAGATCGAAACGTTGGCACGACAAAGAAAATGTTTTTCTGGAACCTACATTACACCAGACAGCATCTCACGATTTTTAAATAAATATCTATTAACGGTCACTAATCACCACACATTATGTGAACACTTGGTAAAATAGGTTAAAAAAACTCGAATAAAGTGTTTGGTTGGCTGTGTTGTGAGGCAAGTGGCACAACCGCTTAAAGAAGCTTGTCTGAAATTTGTCAAAATCCCTCATATAATCCAATGCCCTGAGTTTTGCAGGGTAGAGTGCAAAAACAGCTATTACTGTATGAAAAATTTAACTTTTGTTTGTTTGAAATCGCACTATACAGTTTTAGAATTTTCTTAATTTTTAAAATTTTCCCAGACACCCAAAGAAAACCCCAAGGTAGGCGAAAATGTTGTAATAATCAAAGGCATATTATGGCATAACCACCTGCCTGAGTTAGGTGTGGGTAGGGGTAACCAGGGAAGAGCCGAACTCCCCTAGTCCTTCTGACCCAGTTAAAAATTAAGAGGCACAAACATGAACATGAGAATGATATGTTACAATGCATAACGACCTGTACGCATGACTGGATTTAGACAAAAGGTCATAACTTGATGAACCTAATATGAATCCCTGGTCGTAAGGGCGAGGGCTGAGTGCTGCAGCTCTTCATAACTACCTTTGATTTTTGACACTTCTGCCCCATGCGTTTCTCTCCGTGTTTGCTAGTACTTAGATCGTAAATAATAGATTGGCTACAAATCGTTAAAATGTGATGTGCGTAGAAAAAATCTAACAAACTATAAAATGTGTGGTGATTAGTGACCGTTAATCGATATTTATTTAGAAATCGTGAGATGCGATCTGGTGTGATGTAGGATTCAGAAAAACATTTTCTTTATCGTGCCAACGTTTCGATCTTTATTGAGATCATCTTCTGGGCTCAAAGTGTTTGTCTTCTGTGTAATTGTGTCATTCTTGCGTGTCGTGTCGCACTGGCACTCTCGATCTCAATAAAGATCGAAACGATGGCACGATAAAGAAAATGTTTTTCTGAATCCTACATCACACCAGACCGCATCTCACGATTTCTAAATAAAAAACTATAAAATACTCCAGATGTTTGGTTTAATCAAAAATTGGGGCAATTTAACCTCGACTTATGCAAAATTTAAACTTAAAAAAAGAAAGATTGAAACGCATATGGTGAAAACTTCACAAGACTCGTGAAGTTAGGTTTTCAGTGATTATTGGTTCAACAAGATTATTTTCATCGCAAAATTATCAATGAAAATTATATTTCCAAAATAACACCTTCATGAAATTTTTCAGTAATACACTCCTCCAAAATAAAATGGTACATGTGTCTTCAATCCACTTATACGGCCTTAGAGGTGTAATACATCAATGCTGTCTCCGGTATCGGCGTGCATCTGGTAGCAAGGAGTCCACCCACGATATTCCAACATAAATATTCATGATCCGAGTCTTTTCACATAATGGCGCCTGTCTGCCCACGCGTTTTAACACAATCGAGAAACGTTGACGATTTTAAACTTTTGATAGCGTTTAAGTTCAAAATCGTGGTGATTCCGACAAAATTAACGAAATTCACTATGATGAATTGATTATCTATAATTTAATTTGTGTAAAGAACTTCGTCTCTATTTCACTAGAAGGCCCAGTTGTAGGTTTATTACAACCAGGTGTTAAACACTCACAAGTACCGTCCTTCTTAATGCCAGTAATTTATCAGCGATCAGATCCACCTCGCCAGCGATCCAACGGCTTCCTGATAATAAGCTCAGGTAACACGATAGCTATCTAATTACG